TGTCGGGGGGGGGGGGGGGGGGGGGGAGGAGAGAGGAGGAGGAGAGAGGGAGAGAGGGAGAGAGGGAGAGAGGGAGAAAGGGAGGGAGAGACACAGAAAGACCAGGTACAATTCATACACGCATTTGAGTTAAATACTATTAGTATCCTCATTTGGTACTTAAAGAAGTGACTTGATAACCCCCCCATATCCAAGTCACTAAATTTGGAGCTAACTGCTCGACTGCAAGGCTAGGAATTTCCACTTCTACTTTCTCTTGCCTGTCCATTTTACATCCAGAGCACACACACAGGCACTCTAGGACTGTCAGGTGAAGATATCTGGTACAGCGAAGAACAGCGATGGCTCTGTTCCCGAGGCTATTGCTAGCTTTCATTTCTCAACCTGAAGCGGTGTTCTGTGAACCCGGAAAACAAGGTAAGCACTAGGTCTCTCATTTCCAACTTTCAACTCCTCATCAATACCAGATGGCCTGCAACTTCCATAAAACTGCTGGCTTCATTGCTACTAGTCTATCCTTGGTTCCCTACATTCAAAAGCCCTGCATAGGTTTCATTTCCAAGTAGATATTTTTAAGTGTTTGAGGAATTTAAGATAATAGCAGTTCTCAAAATTTCAAGTGCTATTTTAGCTGTATTACAGGCTGTTACCTATAACTTTAACCCAATTGCTAAAGTTCACAACCGCATGAATGCTGGTGAGGCTGTTTTTTCAATACTTTCTCATTTACTGAAGCAGATTTTCCACAAAACTTACTTGGTCCTGAGAAGCATTAATATTTTCACAGAATGATCTTTCCTCAATCAGCTCTAAGGATACTGTGTGTTCCAAAGATTGCAATATCCTGAGACTCAAAGCTTGTATATACTTCTTTTTTTCTTTTCATTAATCAGTATTTTTTATTATGGTTTTGTGGGGTACAGTTAAGGGTTAGGTGTACAATTACGTTTCATTCAGGCACCCTGTTGATAAGAGGTGTTTTCCCATCCCCCCGACATATATTTGCTACTGTTAGTATATACTTCTAAAGGGTGGTCACACATTACCAGACAGTTTTAAATGACTTTAGGTCGGGCCTGGTGGCTTACGCCTATAATCCAAGCACCTTGGGAGGCCAAGGTGAGAGGACTGCCTGAGCCTATGAGTTCAAGACCAGCCTGGACAACTCATCTCTATTGTAAGTCCAAAGAAAAAATTAGCCGGGCATGGAGGCACATGCCTGTAGCTCCAGCTACTTGGAAGGTTGAGGTGGATTGCCTGAGCCCAGCAGGTGGAGGCTGCCATGACCTAGAGGGCCACTGCCCTCCAGCCTGGGTGACAGACTCCAACTCTAAACAGGAAATGACTTTAACTTGCTACCTAAAAAGGCTTGATCCTTGGCCCTTGATTAACGAGAATTCAAACTCTGGAAGTTAAACCCAGACCAGTTCCTATATGAGATGAGGTCATTGCTAGCTTCAGAAACCTGGCTAGATCTGTACTGCATAAATCTTGTAATAATTTGTAGTCACAGAGCTTTGTGTGTGTCAGGTTCTTGCCGTCACCCAAGTTGTAGTGCAGTGGCATCACAGCTTACCTCAGCCTCAAACTTCTGGGCTCAAGTGATGCTCCAGTCTTGGCCTCCTGAGTAGCTGGAACTACAGGTATGCACCAATGCTCACTAATTTTTGTAGAAAACAGGTCTCCCTATGTTGCCCAGGATGGTCTCAAACTCCTGGACTCGGTTCTACCTCTGCCTCCCAAAATGCTGGGATTACACATGTGGGCCACCATGTCCAATCTGGTCTTGTTTTTACTGTCTTCCAAGCTACTTTTTAAAAATAAAAGTTGAAGCTGGGCTCGGTGGCTCAGCCTGTAATCCCACGGTTTGGGAGGCTGAGGTGAGTGGATTGCCTGAGCCAGTGGGTCCCACACCTGCCTGGGCAACTTGGAAAGACCTCATCTCTACAATAAATCAAAAAATTAGCTAGGCGTGGTAGTACATGCCTGTAGTTCCGTTACTTGGAAGGCTGAGGCAGGATCGCCCGAGCCCAGCAGATCAAGGCAGCAGTGGCCAGGAATGTGTCACTGCACTCCAGTCTGGGTGACAGTGAGACTCCAACTCAAAAAAATAAAAGTCGAGAATTTGGCTTAAACCTTTGAGTTACAATACCTGAGTTCTGTTTGGTTGAAGTTTAGCAACTTGACAGTTTATTCATGATTCTGGTCACTAATATTAATTGCAAAATCTAGGCTGACATCTGCTAAGTTAAAAGTAGAATCGGAACTGGATAGGAGGGGACAAGGGGTGATTCCAAGGACCATGCAGCTGCACAGGCCATGAATTGAGACAGAACACACAAGGGGTCTTTGGGAGGGAAGATGAATTTCATTCTAGACATGTCAATTTTGAGCTGTGTCAAGGGCAGGCGTCAGGTATCCCACTGGCTGTATTCAGAATTTCAGCCGAAGGTCAACTCGAACATACATAGTAACTGAAGTGTTGGAGGTAGGTAAGTAGTCCAGAGAGAGGGCTTAGGCCTAGATACAAGGGGATAGTCTGAGTTTATCCATTAAGCACAATCCTATTAAAAGAGGCAAAAGTAGTCAAAAATGTTAAAGCGATTTTACAACTTGTAAAAATATTTTTTTTGGTAATATTTATGGGAAGTTTCTCTAATAAATCAGATGTGGATAGATATACATCTGATGATAAATTCTAATAACAAAAACATTTTAATGGGTCGTAAGAGGGCAGATTCTGGCCTGATGGACCTGTTAAAAGCTATACTAACAGGCACTAGATGCTGGGCAAACGTAGCCCTCAAAGGCAGCTTCTACACTAGATCTATGCTAAAACAGCATCCACGCCAGCATACTCAAAAAAATAAATCACATAAGGAAGAGCTCAGCAATTAAACAATGCTTCCCATTATCGTGTCAGTAGGAATTTGGCCTACCTGAAACTGCTATCCAGTCATAAAGTTAATACAGCTTCATAATGAAAGATGTGTATTTCCTGACTGTATGTAAAATACGCAACACTTTGGAATTTACCAAGTTTAACCTAATGTCTAAAAAAAAGGAGTAACTGATTGGCAGAGCCAAAACAAGAGCTTAGGCCTCCATTTTCCTAAGTTAGGACTTGCTCACTCTTAATAAATTGTCCCAGGAATGTTTTATGCCCTGTACCAGAATATTTGAGTATGCAACCAAAGTTATAAATTGCCACACAGCACAACAAAATTAGTCATCAATGGCAAGGGTAAACTGATGAAAACAGAAGGCTACAGGGCATCCGTCAATTTGGATCCTCTCACCTGGTAAGTGGAATAAGTTTCACAGCATATCTTTATATGCCCCAATCTTACGACTTTTCTGAATAAAAGCCAACCAAAGGTAACAAGTGGCATCAATTTATTAAAATACTTGACTCAGGCATCAGCAATGGTGACTTCAACCTCAACTCCCGGCTCGATACTGATGGACGTGATCTGCTTGACAATCTCGGAGGGACTGTGCAAGTCGATGAGCCGCTTGTGGATTCTCATCTGGAAGCGATCCCAGGTCTTGGAACCTTCGCCACAGGGCGTTTTCCTGGTGGTGATTCTCAAAGTCTGCAGCCCAGGACAAAGGACACCCTGTGTTCATACTTACCCTTAGGAAAAACGTCTGCAAAAACCATCACTTCAGAGCGCGCCCTTTGGGACGTCCTCCCTGGCCACGATTTCTCTTTACACGCACATGTTTTCGGACACCACGAACTTCAAACGTTGGAGTCTGTTTCCCCCCAACTGGGACACCTTTCTAAGCCAGCAGCGGGCCACAGCACACCGACAGCAACCACGCTTCCACCATCACCTCCCAACGCCTGAACCGCACCAGGGACCAGACCCTACCCGCGCTTTTCAAGGCCTGGGGCCCGTGCTGGGAGCGCCCGCAAGCCCGCTCCCAGCCAAAGCCCGCCAATGACCAGCAAGGGCCCGAACTTGTGCCCCGAGAAACGCGGCGACCCCTTCCTGCCCCCCGATTCACCTCACCTTGGTAGGCATGCGAACGGGTCCTTTCACTTTGAGATTCTTTTCCTTCGCGCCTCTGATCAGGTCCGCGCACACTGCGGGGGGGGGAGGGGGCGGAAAGAAAGTCCCCCGCTTCGTCCCAAACGACCCCCAAAACCCGTCTCGAGCAACGGACAGTCCTGCCGGCTCAGAATAGCGTACAGAACCATCATCATGCTCAACACGGTAGGTCGTCTCCTCACGGCCGGCCCCGTCGCCGCCGGGGGGCGAAGGCGGGGGACACCCCGCTCCGTCCTCCTCACCGAGCCGGCGGGCCCCTCGCCACCCTCGTCCGCAGCCAGGGTGGCCGCCGCCGCCCTGCGTCCCACCTCGGCACTCACCTTTCTCCAGAGACTTCACGTTGCGGCTGGTGAGCGTGATCCGGATCCGGTGGATGGCCACCTCCGGCTCCACGGGCGTCTTGCCGGTGTCTTTAAAAGCCATAGCTGCGGCGCGGCTTCCTGACCGACTTGTTCCTCGGCGAGAGCGAACAGCGGTGAGTCAGGAGCAGGAGCGGGAGGAGCGCGGCCCCGCAGCACCCGCGCCCGCGTCGTCTTCGGAAGGAAAGGCGCGGGGGCGGAGCAGCGCTGATATAGGACGCTCGCATCCGGGTCCCACACACCCCGGAAGAGGAACTGCCCCGCGGGCTCCAGAGGCCGTCGCGCGGGGCGGGGCGGGGGCGCCGCCGGAGTCGGCGGGAAAGGCGCGGCTGCGGGCGCCCTCTGTCGGCACGGCGGAATCGAAGGCTTTCGGGGTGCGGTCCCTGCCAGCGCGGAGGTTACCGGGAGAAGGCAACCGAAGAGCTTTCTCTATCTGGTGCACTCACCCCTCTCCCTCGTGCCAACGACCTCTGTGGCTTTCGGGGTGCAAACTTTGCTTTCCCTGCGAAACAAATCACTCGTTCATGGAGCGAGTGGGTAACTGTTCTGAGTTGGACTGACATGAGTATTCAGAGAAGTGATTCGGTTACTTTAAACGCATCAAGCAGTTATTTTTCATAGCCTGAAATGCTCTTTTGTGAGATTTCAGCTTCCCGGGCCGGCAGAAGCATCCACACCTATTGCAGGAAAAGACCCGAAAACTTGCTTCCTCCTCCCTCCGGGAAGGTGAGGCCGGTGGAAGCCTGGGCCACCCAGCCTTCAAACCGGGTCTCCTCTCGGTTGGAGAAAGTCATATTGGACAAGACCCTTCGGGCTCTTCTTGCTACTGAACATCTGTTCATCATCACATATGCAACACATGGCGGTGGCCGCTGGACCCGCGCGGCGGAAGGAGAGGCATCCCCAGCCCACCTCCCATCTGCAGGCCAAGCCGTGGTCAGACGCGAGTCGGTGAGGTGGATTTTGAGGCAGGACAGCGGGAAGAGTAAACAAGCTCCTGGGACTTTACAGCTGAACCTCTGAGCCAAGAGTCCCTTGCTCAGACACACCCCACCGGTGAGGGACAGAGCTCGGACCTCTCCGATCAAGAGGTCTTTCTCTAGAACATGAAGTATCTCTGCACAAAGTCTGTGTGCACTAACAGTAAAATCTCGAACTCATTCACCTTTGCATTGTTTTTAAGTGTGTGCTACATTACAATTTCCTACTCATAACAACAATGTAATATGTGACGAGGCTACAATGTATGATGAGGAGCAAATTATTAAGCATGTTCTCTATCTCAAAGCATCATTTATTTGCATAAGAGCTTTTAATGATACCAACGAGTGGTCAGATGATATTTCTAAAGTAAACTAAAACTTCATCACAGATGCCGCATAGCCAATTCTCGATTTATGAATAATAAAATTGTGTCTTTTTCAGGATTTAAAAAAAGGGTTCTTCCTCTTAGGTTTCTTGGGTGGGGGAAATTATACTTGAAACTTTTGTCAGATAATTGCATTGACTTACTGAGTGACAATTGGAACAAGACTAATATCTGGGTTTCTTTGGCTCACTGTCCATAATGGGTTGCGCTGCCGCTTAGCAAGGAATTTAAATGTTAACATAGGGATGTTTTCCCGATTATTTATTTTAAAATGTCCATCCATTGTCTGTAAATATGCTATTTTTATTTTTATTTATTTTTGAGTTGGAGTCTCACTCGGTCGCCCAGACTGGAGTGCAGGGGCCGCTCCCGGCCACCGCAGCCTTGACCTGCTGGGCT